GTTAATTGCTACCATTCGATTTTCTTAGAGGGGCTTTTGTTTTAGGTTTATAATAATTAATCTATATCAGCTAAGACTCGACATTTTTATTTATTGACATTTTCTTCAAATTTCCATCTTTATTTTAGATTGTAAAAGAGAATTAAGTATGAGAAAGCCATATCCATTAATAAACACAGAATTGTGTACAATATAATAAAGAATTCAGACCAAAATAATTCTGGTAAAGTAAGTAAATAAATTAAGGGAAAAATAGGAAGAGTTTCCATTTTAAGGAAAATTCTAACTATTTCTTTAATTACTGTAGATGCCTAGTTAAAACTAATCATACTTGGATTAATTGAATTTTATTTGATAGCACTTCATAATTATATGTTTTTTGGACTATTCCATTAGTAAATTCAATCTATTATATAATAATATTTTACTCTCATAGTTTATGAGTTTTCAAATTCTATATCTTTTAGTCTCTATTGGTACTTCAATGGAATTTGTTTATAAACCTTTTCAATAATCCTATACAGCATAAATCAACTTTTAATATAAAATTAAACAATTTAAGCCTATAATTTGAATTAAACTATAAATTACAATTATTCAGGTTTTGAGGAAGGTAATAACATTCTAATGTTATTTTAGTCATCTGAAATTTATTAATTCAAAAAAAGATTTTAAATTTCTGTGACTAATTAATTAAATATCATAAGAAGTAGAAATAATAAAGAATTAGAATGTAAATAAGAGAATTACTTTACTGAGAATTCATAATTTAAGAGTAAAAATATCAAATTAACAAAAAGGATGATTTTATTAATTATAATATTTAGATTAATGATGAACATATACATAAATACAATTATAATAAATTTATATAATTTATTAAAAGTTTGAAGAAATCATAATTTTGAAATTCCATTTTTTATTAATTAACATATATATAATTATTCAAAAATGGATCAAGAGAGGAAGTTTTTATTGCTAAAAAAGCGATTGGATGCTTTGCATTATTGTTAACCATTAGGAATAGACTCTGTTCCTTTAGTTGAAAGATTACTTAATGATCTAGTTAAAACAACTGAAGGCTTCCAATAATTAAAAAAACAATTGGAAGAAGTACATTGATATTATATCAAAATAGACTAAAATTAATGCAGCTAAGTTTGAACAATTATTATTACCATTAAAAAAGGAGAATTAAAGAATTGTTAATGAAAATAATTAATTGCATATGACAATGATTCAAATTAAGGAAGAATGTGATACTAAAGAAAATAAATGGAGATCATAAGTAAGAATGTTAGAAAGTGAAAGAAACGATTGGAAATTTATATTAAGTTAAAAAAATAATGCTGAAAAGAAATTACAAGAAGAATTATTTAAAAAAAATAATGAAAATAATTTATCATCAAGTAATTAACCAGATAAAACATTAAAATTAGTTGATTAAATATAAGATTTAGAAAAGAAGTATATTTATTATGATTATCATTTTATAGATTATTATAAGTGCAATAAGATTCAAGAGAAAATGACAATTAAAAAGTATTATTGGAAGAAAAATGCAAACATTTAGAATTTTAAATTGAAAATAGAGAAAAGGAGATTTTGAGATTAAAGTCAAAATTAGATATTTAAGGCACAAATATAGAGAAATTAGCTTAAGAACATATTCTATCAGAAACATAATAAAAGGCTTAAAGAACTTAAACATAATTAGATTTATTAACTGAGGAAAATACAAAGTTAAATGATGAATTAACAAATTTAAGAAAAGAATTATAACGTTTTAAGAAAAAGCCAAGTCAACCATAATAATAAAGTCCTAATAAATCTGATAAAAAAAATGAGTTAAATTAAATCAAATAAAGATTATCTAGTATTGAAGAAGAGAAGGAGAAAAATTAAGAATAATTTAAAAAAATATTAAATTAATTAGAATAAGAAAATTAATAGTTAGTTGAAAAAGTTTAGTAATTGTATTAATAAAATGAATAATTATAATTAAAAGCTTAAAATGCAGAATAAGTAGTTTCAGCATATTAAACAGATAAAATGGTGTTTAGTAAGGCTGTGAATAATTTGAAGAATGATAAAGAAAGTACTGTATAAACATTAAAATGTTTGGAAGAAGATAATTAAAAATTAAAATATTAATTAAATGAAATGGATGATCAATTACAAATACAAAAGTCTGAATATTAATAATTATAAAGAGAAAAGGAATTATATGATAGAAATTATAAAAAATTAAATGATGAATATGAAAGAGAGAAAGAATTTGTATAATAATTAAGATAAGATAAAAGAGATTTAGAAAGAGAATTAGATTAAGAAAAATAAATAATAAGAGAATTAAAAATAGAATTTGAAAGAATGGATGTATCTAAATAAAATTTGGATAGTTTATTATAAAAATTTAAATAAGAATAAAAGAATTAATAATAATCACAATAATATAATCCTAATTAAGGTTAATAACTAATGATTGATCAATTAAGAAAGGAAAATGATTTATTGACTAAGGAAGTGTAAACAACAGAAAATCTTATAAAGTCAATTAGGAAAGAATTAGGAGAAAAAGATAGAGATAATAATGAATTGAAATAACAAAAACGTATCTTAAATGATTAAATTAATGAATTATCATAAAAGAATGCAAATTTGGATTCATAAATAAAATTAAAGTTATAGGATATTGCATAATTAGAATAAGAAGTTGAATAATATAAAAGAGAATAATCAAAGATGAGATTAAATTAATAAAGCATTTTAGAATAGAAATAAAAAATTGAAAATGATACCAATGGAGAATTAAAATTATTATAATAATAGAATAATACTTTAAAATTATAAATCTCAGATTTAGGAATCTTTAATTCTTAATTAGAAGAAAAACTTAAAATATCTTAAGAATTGCTTAATGAATAGAGATTAGAAAATGATAGATTATAGATGAATTTACGATAATAAAGTGATGAAACATTTAAATACTAATAAAATTTATTAAGAAGTAAGGATAAAGAAATGGATTATTATAATTTGACTAATGAAATTGAAAGATTAAGAGATTAAGAAAGAAAGATTTTAATTGAAAAAGAAAGATTTTAAAGTGAAAATTTAAAATAAGAATCAGTAATTAATTAATAAACAAAATAAATTGAATTTATAAATAAATTAAAAGAAGAAGCAATGAAAGAAGCTAGAGAATTAAGATAAATGATTAATGGATTAAAAACAAATGATCATGAAATTAAAAATACTTCTATAAAATTATCAGAAAAAGTAAATAATTATGAAATGTCTTTATAAGATATTAATGAATAATTATAGAAAGAGATACAAAGATCTAATAAATTATATAATGAATTAACAGAATCATAATCTTAAATAGCATCTCTTAAATTATAAAAAACTGATTATGAAAATTAAATTCGATAATTAAAATTATTATGTGAAAGTTTGGAAAAATAAAAAGAAGAATTACTATAAAGATTATAATTAAAGAATAGTACTAAAATAGAAGATGAAAGATAGGTATTATAATTGAGAGAATTGAATGAAAATTTAGAAGATAAAGTAAATTAATTATCTGAGTAAAATGTATAATTAAAAAGATCATTAGAGTAATTAGATAGAGAAAGAGATGAAGTCTAAAATTCATTAGACGAAGTAAGAGAAACTAATATATCTTTATAATAATAGATTAAACAAATGAATAATGAAATCTAGAAATAATAATCTAAATTATCAGAGGTTAGTACTAAAGGAGAACGTGGTTATGAAGCTGCTTAATAATTAGAAGAAAAATTAAGAGATTAAATTTATAAGAATCAAAAATTATAGAATGAAAATGAAAATCTAAAATATACTTTATAAATCAAAGAGAAAGAATTTCATGAGATGAAATCTGATATTTAAATTTTAAGTAAAGATAATTAATCTATAAATAATTAACTTGTTAAATCTGTATAAGAAAAAGAATTATAATCATAATAAATCCAATTTTTATAGTAATAAGAAATTAGACTTAAAGAATAAATTAAAATGTTTGATATGGAAATGCATGATTTATAACTTAATTATAGCGAAGTGTGTGCTGAAAATCAAAGACTTACTGTTTCAATTTAATAGATATCATTACAACATGAGGAAGTATTACAAAGAGGTGTAGAATTAGAAAAATAAGAAGACTATTTTAAAGTTTAAATGTAAAATGCTTCAAAAAGAGAAGATTAATATTAAATTTAGTTATAATAATATGAACGTGAAATAGAAAGATTGAATAGAAAATCTGAAGAATATGAAAGATAAATTAGAGAATTACTTAAAGATAGAGATGTAAGAATTTTAATAATATTCTTAGTAATTGGGAAAAGAGTATCATTCATAAAGAAAAATATCTACTGGATTTTAGGCAGCTTAAGAAGACTTTAATAGATAAATTGCCTAATTAGAAAGAGAAAAACAATATATTGAAAATGCTAATAGAGACTTACAAAAATAAGTAGACCTCAAAGATGCTTAATTATCTTGGGAATAAAAGAGAGTAAATGAGATGGAACAAGTTATCATTTAAGAAAGATAAATGCAAATGAATACATTATAAGAGATTTAACAATTAAAAGATTAAAATGAATAACTTTTATAGGAATTAGAAAAAGCCTATTAACCTTAAAAATATAGTTAAAGTAATAAAAAATAATCTATCAATTTAGATTATAAAAATGAATCTTCTTATGTCTCTTAACAATCCTAATAAAGTGGAATAAAGGATAATAGTTAATTAGATTAATCTTCTGGATGGGAAAGATTAAAATAAGAGTCTGAAAATTTCAAAAAAACATTGAGTTAAGCAGCTATTTCATCATAAAATTTAAAATAAAAAATGAAATCTCTATAAAGAGAATATGAAATACAATAAAATCCTTAACATTAAAGATACATTTGAGAATGATAAATATAATTATATTAATGCTTCATTTTTAAAAACAAATAATTTTCTCAATGATGATTTATTGTATTAATACGACCAACCTTCTTTGTCTTAGGCATATCTTAAATAAATTTATCTAATTATCCTTCTTATTTTAAATTTTCAAAATCTTCCAAATATTCTCTTAACACTTTGAATTTAAGATCTAATGGCTTAGTAGGATCATATTCTTCAATAGGATATTCAGAATATTTCTAAATTTTGTTAAATTATGTAAAATACTTTCTTAACAATCTTATTTTCTCCTAAAAGAGTTAATTTTCTTTATTTTAATGATTCAGTTAATTACAAAATTGCTTCCTTTGTAATAAGAATCGATTTAAATTTAAGAATTTTAATAATATTTAATTCTTTCACTGTACATGTCTCTAAAGTATCTAAATTACGAGAGGCTCTTAAAAAAAAATCATCTGGATCAACACTAGTAACTATCAATATTGGTTATGTAAAAGATTCAAATCCCTTCATTAATTATACCAAATGTTTAGTCTTACCTTCATTTAATTTTTCAGTATCTATAACAGTGAATTTACCTTCAATAAGAGCAGCTGTCAAACCAACTTTGTATGCTTATAGTCTAACTTTTCTTGGTAAATCAATTCTTAATGATCTTATTTTTCTTCCATGAGCTTTAATACCTTTATTTCTTCCTGGTCTTTATCTATGTCCTTAACGTGCTCTTCCTGTCTTTTTTTATGGATGATTTTTAGCCCCTGATGATGCAGCATCTCTTAATGCTAAAGTAGCTTTAGTGACTTTTTTATTATACAAATCAGTATATCTCACTAACCTTTAGACTAAATCTCTTCTAATAGGTTAATTAAATATTTCTATTATTAAATATAATTATTAATTGAATACCTTAATCTAATGCTATTGATTATCCTGTTGGCTATGCATCATGAAATCTGATTATAGGTAGAGATACCTCAGTCTTAAAAGGTCTCATTGACCAAGGTGTAGCTAATGATGGTGTATTTGCAGCAAAGCTAAACCTAAATATTTTGAGGCACTGCTATAACATATTTTTAATTATCTATATTTAATTTATATATTCATAAATATATTATCAAAATATTAATCATTATTTTTTATTATTAAATTATTTGCTTTTGCTATTGCTTTTTTTTAAGTAAGTAGCTAATAGTCTTTATGTTAATGGTTATTTAAGATTGAATTTTTCACTTCTGATTAACATTCTTGGTGTTTTAGATTCAAAATTGCTAAGACTATTTTTTTTTAAGTTTTCAAGATTACTAAGATTTGGTAAATGAAAAATTTATTTTTTTTATTGATTAGCAAAATAGTAACTAGAGACATCTGTTTTGATTCTATATTGAATAGAATTTGGAGATTATTTTATAGATTTTTTCTTTAATAAATCTCTTTATTTAATAATATCTATATCTTTAGGTTTTTAAATTTAGATTTCAACAAATTTACCTTATTCTTAATCATCAATTTTCTTTTATACTTTATTAAATAAGCTTTCAGTTTATAAATTAATTTTAGATTTCAGATCTTATTCTATTTTATGAGTTCTACTTATTTTTTTCATTAAATTTTAAGCCTAAATTAATTAAATAACTGGAATTAAAGATTCTCTAGCACTTCTCTAAACAATTTATTTCTAATGTTTATCGCATAAAAATTAATTAATATAATACTAAAATGAGCTGATGAACCAATTAAACTCAGATCCTTGTTTGAAGGTCTAACTGTTTAAGGTTAAATAGATAACTTAGGTGATGCTGGATATCTTTATTTGATAGCAGAGAATTAATTGTCTTTTAATTCTCTTTTACTAATCAAAATTTTCTTTTTAACTTTTCCACCACATTCATTACAATGACAACTTTAATTTAATTCTTTAGTGTCAAAATAATTGATTTATTAAAATGGTATAGCAAAATTCTTAAACAAACTTTTCCATCCTTATAAATTTTTTATTGTTTACTTTTTTTTAAACATTTATCAAATCCAAATAATTTATAATTGTTTTCATTATTCTAAAATGAAATTCTCTTAAAAAAGAGATCATCAAATGTTTTTTCATGATCCATTTCAGGATAAATTTCGAATAAATTCATAATATGATATAATTATTAAATAATATATTATTTTCTTTAACATACATATATTATAAAAATAAGATCATCCTTCTTTCTTAACTTTTTAATTTTTTTAACGTAATTATAATCTTGCTTAAATTGATAATTCTTAATTTTCTAATTATGATTAAATTTGTTATTTATTATCTGATTATTTAATATTTGTCTATTATGCTACAACTGGTGTTTAATTAAGAGACTTAGAGTAATAATTATTTGAATTATTATTCTCTCTCTTTAATGCTTATAATTCTTATTATTATTATTATATAATCTATTATTACATATCTATTTTTTTTTTGATTTCATCATGTTTATTTAAAGTATTCTTATATAATGTTTCTTCATCTCTAGGTGTAACAAATTCTGTTAATTTTTCACCTCTATCTGCAAAATCTTCAAATTCCCTAAAGAATGGTTTTTAATCATTTAAATTTGTTCTTGGTAAATTATTTGTAGATATAGATTAAACATGTTAAGATGCTGAATGATTTCTTCCTTAAAATTTATCTGTCTAATTCAATATATTCTTTATTTTATCAACAAAATAATATTTGATAGGATCCATTAATCCATCATAAACTTATACACATTCTTGATACATAGCAACTAATTCTTCAACTAAAGAATGTGATTTTACTTATTACAAATTAAAAGTATTTTCAATTGTAGATAAAGAAAGAAAGAATTATTTTGATAATTTTTTTGTTCCATCCTATGAAGGTTTATATAAAAATTCTGGAGTCATAAATTATTCATCTATTGTAAATGTACCATTAGATTATTTTAATTTTTCTTAGTTATTGTCTTATTCTTTCTTTCCAAATGCTGATTTAAAGAGCTTCATAAAATGGAAATTGAATTATATTTAATTTTTAATTTATGTATTCTATATATATATTGTGTCTAAATCAATTCCAAATTCTTATAACATAGTAATACTAATATAATTATACTATATTGTGATTTGTAAATGAATAATATTAATATATCACCATTCTGGCTTAGGTCTTTGCTTTTTTGCAATTTCTCCTCTAGCTAAATCTGGGAAATTTTCTTCACATGATAAAGGAACATCTTTAAAGTAGTAATTTCCATAAGTGTTATTTTATCTTTCTCTCTCATATGACCATTATCTTTCTCCTAATAAACAATGCTTATAAAATTTAGTGCCTGTCATTTTAGTAACTTACCACCATAAATAAGATGCTCCAAGTAAATATAATCCATAACCAGCTAATCCAACATACCCAAAACTTTAATTACTTAATACTAATTTAATACTTATAAAAGAATGAGGTCTATTTAATATTTGTTATACCTCTCTATCCAATAGGCAAAAACATTTATCTATGTGTTAATGCAGCTTTTATATTTATTACTTTATTTACCTTATAAAAAGAATCCTGTTGTGCATATCCAAACAGGAAATATTCGAACAAAGTTAAAACATTTCAAATCTCTTTCAACAAAATCTTAAATATTTCTTGCTACATGGATTCTTAATGATTATACTCTAATATATACCTTTGCAATTTATTAACAAAATAAGTTCTTGGATCTATTTGTTTACCTTCTTGAGCATTTTCTTACATTATCTCAATATATCTTTTATAAGCAGGATTGTCTCCATGTTAATAAAATAACAATGGATCATATAGTTTTTAAATATCTTCTTTCAATGTTTTAGCATCTCCTTTGGACATTTTTTAATTTTATTTAATTAATATAATAAATGAGAAAAATGTAATTAAAATATATTTTGAAATTAATTATATTTTGATTATTAATAAATAGAATAAAAATATTAATAATAATAATAATGGGATGCGCTAGTTCAAATATTAGGAAAAAATCTGGATAGAGTTAAACCATAATTTTCCAATAAACAGGACATAATTAAGGATAATAATAATTTTAGTAATTTCTTTATTTGAAAAAAGAATAATTTAATATACCAAGATTGCAAAGGGGAGCTAATTTTTATCTAATGGGATTGGAGAGAGAAGTAACTAACTAACATTTCAGTTTTATATTTAAAATTTTAATTCATAGGTGCACTGGTTAAGGATGTTCTCCTTTTAATTATGAGAATCATATAAAAAAAGAAGAAAATTTATTAAAGTATTCTATCAAAATCCAAATATAGTTCTTCAAAGCCTATTAATGAATCTTTGGAATAAAGCTATTCAAAAAAATCACAATACTCTTCTAAAAAATAGTCTTCTGAAAATTCAAATTAACAGTAATTAAGAGAATCCAATTCAGAAAATCAATTGAACAATAATTCAACATATAGAAATATTTCAGTCCATGAGGAATAAAAAAGTAATCCAATCAATGATGAATAAAGTTGATTAATAAATAGAATATAATTTAAATAAAAGATTAAAAAATTTAAAGTATAATAGTTTTTGTAATTTAGAGAAATATGATATGTATAATAATATTTATTATTTATATATAAATTTGATATATAATAATATATTTTTGCATATTATTACTTTTATCTGAAATTTTATTATAAGCATAAATAAATTTTATTTTTATAATAATCTTATCTTCCCTCATAACTGCAAAATAAAATTTAAGTCTAAAAATGTGAAAAGTTATAAAATATAAATGAATATACCATGTTGTGAACAAATCAAAGGAAAATATACCAAGAACTTCTGAATTAATTTTAACTTTCAAATATTATGATACGGAATTGTCTTAAATTTCTATTATAAAACTATTGTATTCAAATGCCTTTAATCTTCACTCAAATGGAAAAATTTAATTACATATTCTATACTTATAAGTTCAAAAATGCACAACAAAGCTTTAAATCAAAACAATATAAAATTTACCTTAATCATTTATTCAAGGTAGACATAATTCAATTTCGAATAAAAAGGAAATGCATTTTTAATATTAAATTCAATCAACAGTGCTTTCGTTCTACTATTTGATGTTTAAGTCAATAAGGTTATGAATCCTATTTTAGAATCATAAAATAAAGCCAATCTCTTATTAATTTCTTGTTGTTTATTCATCAAATTTTTATTATAATATATAATAATATTATTTATTTAAAACAATATATTACCATAAATGATTATAATGATTTCTAAGTATCTACAATTAAGATAGTATTTTAATAAGTACAAAATTAAAGTCAAAATTTAAATGTAAAATTATCAAGAATAATTATGTTTATTGAATTTAAATAATCATAAAAGCATTGTTTTCATCACTCTAAACTTAATTATAAATAATCAATTACTAATTCTGTTAACAATATAATTATTTTATTTTATTATTGTAAATTAAAGCTTCAACTTCATAATGGAATTTTTAGTTCATTTATTCTAAGAGTTCTTGAAATAATTATGTTAATAATTTTGAACTGAGGTACTTAATAATATCTTAATGTATCAATCTAAATAAATAAATGAAATCTATATTATATTATTAAAATTCGATTCAATTTTAGAAATCACAATTAACTTACATTAAAATCCTGTGTTTCTAAAATAAGAAAATGATTAAAAAATGCAAATAGAATACTATTAAACCATAAATATTTATTGTGTAGAATATCAATATATGAACCATTATTGGTTTTTAATATTTTGAGATTAGAAACAATCATAATTATTTAAATCTTAAAATAAAAAGAGTTCTGGGAAAACAAATATATTTAGAATCTTAACTAATATAGTCATAAAAATAGATATTCAATAATTCAAAATATATTTTTAAGCAAAATTTGGAGTTTATCAATTTCTAATATAGAATGATTGAATAACTGCAAAATTGAGTATATGAGAAGTATATGATGTAATGTATAATACTTAATTAATATTTAGAGTTAAAAATTTCAAGAGAATTGCATTTTCAAACATATTGATTTTTTATTCTTTAAAATAAAGATAGTAAAAATTCATATTTTACATCTCTATTTATCAAAGTCATTGTAAAAATATTCAGAAATACATGCAGATTATTTATATATGAACTAATAAATAATTAGTAGTAAATACATTTATTCTTGACATTTAAATTCAGACTAGAAAAGTATTCAAAAATTTGTATACATATAGGACTATTAAACAATGAAATTCTATAATTGATTATAGATTTAGATTCTGATTAGGATTAATTAAATTAAGTCCATATTATCAGATGATTAATAAACGACTTTTGATAATGGAATATAGAAATAAATCAAATTTAATATTATAAATAATGAGTAACTCAACTCCAATCGAAATCTATATTAACTTGATTAATGATTATTAGAATGCAAGTACTGATGACGATGATGAAAAGTTTCAAATAGAGTATGAAATATTAAGATTTTTAGCGTTTAACCAAAAAGAAAGTATTTTGAGACAATCGAAGAAAAAAGACAATATATTGAAGAATATACAAAGAAGAAGAAGACAGAGTTGTGTAAGAACTTTTAGTTGACTGGATAATGCAAATTTGGAGATGAAGTATTTTATAAGGTTATTTCATAGTGTTCTTTCGCTCATGGTTAATTAGAGTTATAAGCTAAAACTCATTTACATTAAAAATACAAAACAAAACCATGCAATCGATATTTTAATTAAGGATTTTGTCCTTATGGAATAAGATGCTAATATTTACATGATGAATTAAAAGACCAAAATAGATTTGAGAAATTCTTATAAGAATCTTATTAACAATTTAATATGAAACCAACAATAGCTAGAAGTATGTTTATAGATTCTATAATAGAATATCTCAATAATACTGAGAGATTAGACATTTAAAGGTTTTAATAAGTTCTAAAAACATTCACAAAAAAAGGATTCAATGTTGGATTGCATACCAGATCAAAATTCTTTGTTTAATTATAAGAAAAACAAATTTGACTTCTCTATTCATTTATTTATTATATTGAATAAAAATAATATGGCATCTTATTTAATTACTGAGGCTTAAATACCAATTCTAGAATCACTTGATTAGAATGCAGCTAAGAAATTAAAGGAGATGTGCAAAGACATAGAAGGCTTGATGATTAACACTAATTCTAGAATTTCAACGCTATTATAAAATTAGCAGACTAGCTTTTTTAAGGCATTTAAAATAGTTGTAGAATAGATCTCATCAGATTTTAGAAATCTACAATAGAAATTTGAAGAATACATTGCATATCATGAAAACGAGACTGAAGTATATAATTTCTATTATAAAGAATAGGTAGTAAATGCTTAAAATAAATTAGTATTTTTTAGGAATGAATGTTAAGTATTAAACAAATTATGTATAGAATTGAAATGCGAAAATTAAAAACTAAAAGTTAAAATCAAAGAAATTGAATAGGTATTTAAATACATAAATAAATTTAAAGGAAGTTAATAATTAGAAAATGATATTATTAAAATAAGCAACCAAAAATTCTTAATTACAAGAACTAATATCATTCTATAAATAAAAATTATAGGTTTAAAATTAATAATAAAAACAAAACGAAAATGATTCAGTAAAATTTCACTCATTAATCAATAAAGATACAAAATTTAGGGTTCCTCAATTAAAATTAAATCATCGTTATCATACTGAAATATAAGATAATGATCATAATAGTATAATAACATACAGTTAGAAAAATTAAACAATTAATATTTGCAAAACAAGTAAACCAAAAAATAATTTAACTCTTTTAAATAGAACAACTGATGATATATTAGAGACCTCAACAGGAAAGAAAAACTTTAAATAATTTGGTATATATATATATATAATTAAATTAGATAAATTTTATGAGAGATCATATAAATCAAGAGCAAAATCTCAATAGTAGACTTTAAAAATAAATGAAAATAGTGAGACAACCTAAAAGACATAAGAAATCTCTTCATCTCTTATTAAAAATATTAGAGTCAATCCTTCATATTATTAAAATAATCTAACAGTTTCCTCTTGATTCATTTATTAACATCATCATATTTTTAAAATACAAATTCTACTCAAATTTAGTATACATATAATTGGATTAACAAATTTATACTCAAGTAAATCATGCTAATTTCTTATATACTACAAATCTTCTAACATAAATAACTTAACAAGTAGCCACAATAATTAATAATCCAAATGTTATACCAGCAAAACCAATAATTTTAGTTTAAATATCTGTAAAACTATATTTTCTTTTATTTTCTCTATCAACAATTAATAATTGTTCTCTTGATATATCTTATTATAATTATTCCATAGTCTCTAAAGTTTCATTTAAATTAAGAACATGCTATTTTTTTGCTAATAAATCTTAGTCATATATTTCAGCCCCTAATATTATTATACTTTAAGTACCACTTTCATAAAATAGATTAAAAGTTGTAATATCAGAATAATCATCTACTTCAAAACATATAGAAATCTCTCCTGATTCCTCCATAACATAATGAAATTATTGATTGATATCATTAGAGTATTCAATAATGATTGATTCTTAATCCTATTAATTAATAATCTATAATATATATATATATTGAATTACACTTAATGTAAAAGTATAAAGTGATGATGTTGTATCATAATTACCATAAATAAGTGTATTTTAAGACACAGAATCTTTGATGCATTATTATTATCCAGGTGGTACTTTGAATTTTAAAGTAATAGATTGTACACCTGTAAATAAGAAAATTAATTCTAAAATCATTTTATAAATAAAAATATATATAAATATTATATCAAAGTAATACTTATTCTTCTTATCTTGTGTTTTATTTTTATTAAAATTCAAATTACTTAATAAGTCTATCAATTTTATCTTCTTTATAATTATTCCATTCTTCCTCCGTTATTTTAGATTATTTTTTTTTTATTTTGATTATTTACAACAGCAAAAGTTTGATCTTTGATTATTTTATTGAATCCATCTAGAGGATTATTACCAGATGGAGGTAAATTAATATTTTCAATTGAATCAGAAAGTTGAGTACTACATAATTATTTTAAATGATCATATTCATAAATTGAAATCGTAGGTTTTACATGATATTACAAAGTCTATCTAACTAATTAATAATCTTAATTGTTTCCAAATACAAGTGAACAATTATTAGTATGTGCTAAATATCTTAAACCTCTTGTTATCCATTTTCTGGATTCTTAATCTAGATTTTTAGAGAATAAATCATATTTCCAACCTACAATTATAATAGGTATAAATGATTGTATTATTCTATTTTTATCATGATGCTACATGATTTTTTCATAAATATTTAATTCTAATTGTTTTAAAGTATCAACATCTATTGATTATTATAACTTCTTTTCTGTTTCTTCTTTAATTTATCTTATTTCTGAATTACATACATTTAAAATTTCATGAGGATTATCAGATAAATCAATTACTAAAATATAACTGTACTATTAATATGATTGTTTATTAAATGGTAAAGTCAATAATTATTTAAATGATTATCCAGAAATCTCAAAATATTAAATTACTGCTTAATAACCAATTATATTTGTCTTTTATTAAGTGAATATTAATCCTGTTTAATTATGTATTTATTGAGATGTTAATTTGGAGACCTATATATATTGAAATAATAAACGTACTATTGTTGATTTTCCAACTTGACTTTGACCACATCAAACAAAAGAATGTTATAATTATGATTAAGGTACATTTATTTATATATCCTTAAGAATAGTTAATAAAGAAGTCATTTTAATAAAAAATAAATTGAAATTCAAATAATTTATTATTAGAAATACACATTAAATGTACACAATATCAAATTAATGAATCATCATATTAAACAGTCTTTTATTATTATTCTTATGCTTTTTAATCTCCTTATTAAAATTCACCAAAATCATCATCTTATCCATTTTTACATTGCTAATGATTGATATTATTCTTTACTATTTAGGTTAATGTTTCATAATTATTCAATATTTCTTCGATCTCAAAAATTGATGCTCTATCCTTTGGGTTTGATTAAAGCATTATACCAATCAAATTGATCATCTTATTAGAATACTAATACATTCAATTTTTGATGAATACTTTATTGTCTTTTGGAATAATATACGAAGCTTCAACAATAGCCAATTTTGAAGATTCCTAAAAGGGTGGATTATAAAAGCACATTGTATATAAAATGCATCCTAACATCCAGATATCAACTTTTTCATTGATTTCATACTTTAAATATAAATCTGTCATTTCAGGAGGCCTATATATTTCTGTTGTCTATTTTGCAAAATTCTCTTCATATTGAGAAATCTGATGTTTATTTGATTAACTTATTTTAGATAATAATAATACTTTAAATCAATTTTTTCAGTACTAGCAGAACCGAAATCGCAAATTTTGAATATTTTGTTATGTAATAAGACATTTTCAACTTTCAAATCTCTATGAGTAATTGAAGGTTTTTAGGTGTGAAGATATTTGATTGCTTAAACTAATTACTATGATAAAGTGAAAATTAACTTTTAACACTAAGAGTACTTATTATTCACTCAATCTTTTTTCATTGTATCTTTTTAGTAAATCAATTAATGTTCCACCTTCACATAATTCTAAAACCATATATGCTATAGTCTAATTTATTTTCTTATTAAATTTGATTACTCCATTATAGCATTTTACAATGTTAGGATGTTGAAGTCTTCTCTATTTTACATATGAATAAATATAATTTACATGCAAATCTAATTCCTATTAAGCTTATTCAATTGCTTCTTTACTTTGACAAATAATTTTTTTAATAACGCAAAATTTTCTTGTTTTTGTTTCTATTGCTCTCCAAATAAAACCATAACCTCCTTCAGCAATTAAATTCAATTCATGATATTCCTAACCATTAATTTCATAACTTTCCGGTTATGGCCCAGAAGTGCCTTATCCAAAGAAATTCATAAAAAAATTCATTTTAATAAAATTATTAATAAGTATAATCAAAATTACATATTAATTGACTTACTTTTTGGATTGTTTGAACTTTTAGTAGAATGAGGTACACTTAAATCTCTAGATCCTTTTCTAGAATTCAATTGTAATTATAATTAATAAGAATTTGTTTATTTTTATGGCATCCATTAATAATTTAAACTTCTCTTTTAATCTTAATTTTATTATTTATTTGAATTAATAATCTTTTAGGCCTCTTGATCATAAATTGTCTAAACGTTTCTTTAGTAATTCAAAGAGAATATATTTTGTTTTTGTTGATTTGAATTTCTATTGGATGTAGGAGTTAATTTTTTTTATTGTTCTGATATAGAGTTAATAATTACTAATGTATTACAATATAAGATTGGCATTAGCAGGGGAAATCGATTACCTTTTAGTAGCAAACATCGTAGTCTAATTTAAAAACGAATCTGTATTATAATTTGATTCAGTTCTAACTTTTTATTTTTTTACATTTGATGTTACATTCTAGGATAATGATTTATTATATTCTTAATCTGAGTCCAAACTATCTTAACGATTTGATTATTTTAATTAAATTAATTTATTGAATTTCTCATCTTATAAATAATAATGACCTCTATTTTATTATGTATACATTTTCTTATTTTTACGATTTTGATTAGATTAAGATCTTTAAGTAGTATTCAAAGATTAGAGCATAGATTCATCAATAAATTATGGAATTTAAGCTATATAATAATATATTGAATTGTTTACCTTTTTAAACTCTTTGAATTGGATCCAATAATTTTGAATCAAAATATACAGAATTAATATCAGCTGTTGATATTCCTCCATTCATTAAATGTCTCTTCATCAATAAAAAATATGAAGTTGTCACATTATTTTATTTATTTGCATCTAAACATATTTTGGCATAATCTTCATTAAATCCTAGTTCTTTCAATTATTGTACAATATTATTATCAATTGGTATTCTATGATATCCAATAATAATTCCTTAAGGAATAGAATGTGATCTCCTAAACAATTTAAACCATGGATGTGATTTTATTTACTCTAAATTAAATCTTCGATCAGGATTAATATTCAAAATTCCCTTCAAAAAATGTGTGCCTTCTGGTGACACAAAATTAGGAATTTAATATTCTCCATGTAATATTTTTTTGTATAAAGCTGAAGTATTCACATCTTCAAATGGTAAATAACCACAAATAGATGCAAATAAAATTACTCCACATGACCATATATCAACTAATAAAGAATTATATTTATTCCCTTGTATCATTTCAGGTGCTGCATAACATGGACTACCACATGCTGTCTTTAATTATTCTCCCTATTTATATGTATTACTTAATCCAAAATCTACAATTTTTAAACTCTTTTAATAATCTAATAATAAATTTTCTGGTTTCAAATCTCTATGGACTATATTTAATTTATGTATATATTCAATTCCAGATATTAACTCTTAAATAAATTTACATGCTTCAATTTCAGATAGTCTTTATTTATATATTAAAATATTACTTTTAATGCTTTACTATATAATCAAATAATTCACCGCCATCACAAAATTCCATAACCAAAAATATATATTTCTTTGTTTCAATTATCTTTAATTATATATATATTGATTTAATACCTCATATAATTGAATTACATGTTTATGTCTAATCAATTTCAAAATATGTATTTCCCTAGTTACTCTTTCAACATCAGCTACATCTATTATCTTTGATTTCTCCAAAATTTTAATTGCTACCTTCTCTTAAGTTATTTAATGAATTGCCAATTTGACTAAACCAAATGTACCCAATCCAAGAGTTTTAACTACTGTAAACCTAAACACCAACCTAAAAGATAATCTCCTATCTATCGTTATTTATCAGATTCTTATTCCTACTCCTATATAATCAATTTTCTACTATTAACTAATTTCATTAATTAAATTAATTTGATCATTATGTAATAATAATAATAATAAACTCATGATATCTCACCATGGAATGAAAATAATGATGATGATATTAAGACTGTTACTGAATAATAAGTTGATGAATTCAAAACTAGTTATGAAAATTTTCAATAATAACAGAATTAATATAAAAAGTAGAAATCTATTAAAGTAAATACAACTAATTGTAGAGGTGAAACAAGATTAATACGTAAATTAATAGTAAAAAATAATTGGAAAGAAGTTTTTAATGATGGTGATGTTTGTTGGCTTGGATTACCATTTAAATATTAAAATTTTGAAGAATATTTTACATAATACGTTAATCGTTTTCCAGGAATGGATTTGTTAGCTCATAAAACTTAATCATCATTTTATTTGAATAAATTTGCTTAATATTTTCCAGATGAATATGAATTCTTTCCTAAAACATACATTATACCTGATGAAATTGATAAATTTTAATAAGAATATAAAAGCACTCGTACTTACATAGCTAAACCAGATGCAGGATCATAAGGGGATGGAATCTATTTAATAAAAAAATTAAAAGATATCAAAACTAATGAAAGTATGGTAATATAATAATATATCTCCAAACCTTTATTGATAGATAAAAAGAAATTTGATTTAAGATTGTATGTTCTTATTACATCTCTTGATCCCTACTTATGTTATATTAATAAAGAAGGATTAGCTAGATTTTGTACTGTAGATTATGAAAAACCTAATGATAAAAATCTCAGAAATCCTTTTATGCATTTAACCAACTATTCACTTAATAAAAAAAGTACTAATTTCTAATTTTATAATGGTAAGAACATTTTAGATATAAATGAGGGAACCAAAAGAACTTATTCATCTATCTAAAAAAATTTAGAAATCTTAGGATATAACAATTAAGATGTTGAAAATTAAATAGATAGTTTGATTGTTGCATATTTAAAGAGTCTTCTTCCATTTCTTGCATTCAATTAAAAATTAGTTTTTTAAAAAAGAGTAGCAGAAGTCAAATGCTTCTAAGTATTAGGATTTGATATTTTACTTGATGAAAAAGGTAAACCATGGTTATTAGAAGTTAATTCTAATCCAAGTTTATAAATTGAGCATGAAGTTTATGCAACAAATGGTAAATCTGTATTTGAAGAATCCTAAATTGATAGTTATGTTAAAGAATTAGTTATGGGGGATGCAATAAAATTAGCAATGATACCTAAAGAAGATTAAGAAGAATTACCAGGATTTTAGAGTTATAGAAAATTAGATGTGGATGAAACTGAAACCATATTCTCAAAGATGATGTAACTTTATGGTTTTTTGTCTGGATATAAATTTCAAGAATATTTGACATCTTCTAAATTTTAGAAATTGTGTAATTTTCCATAAATGACATCTTAAACATTTCTGAAACATGATTATGATTTATTATTTAGGAAAATCATATTAAAATCATGTAATAATAATTAAATGGATTTCTTTCAATTTATTAATGCACTTGAATAATTGGCTAATAGATTAAACTAAGATTTAGAGGAAATGCTTGATAGATTAATTTAGAATTTTTGATAATTGTAATATTAATTTAATTTATTATAATTAAATAAATTCAAATCTAAACGTATTTTAGTATAATCATAGATTATTCTTATTTAAAATATCATAAATTTATAAATATTTTTATTAGTTTTATTGATAATATTTTTAAGATCTAAACTAAATGATGTTTAATATTAATCATAAATGATCAAGAAGGTTCAAAGTATTATTGATAATATAATTCAATCATAGCAAAGAAAGTAGAAGAGATAAAAATTTCACATATAATATTTTTCTACAAGTATTTCTTATTTTTAAAGATGGAAGTTTTAAAATTCATATCTTGATCCAATATGAGTTTAAGTAATTATTTTTATTCAATATTTCTCTAAAAACTTCAAATTTAAAACTATATTTATTTTTATTGGTTGTAACTTTATGAAAATAATCAAAAATATTATGTTTAAAGATAGAGTAATCCATTATCATTTTAATAAAAATGAATAGATTTTATTGTTAAACTACTTTGTTCTTCTACATTAGTGATTTTAATAATTAAAATTATATTTCCATCATTAAAATTATGTGTAATACACTTTTTAAATTTGTAAAATATTCACTTTTATTCTTTTTAATAGATTGTAAAACATTATAATTTTATATAATGAATTTAAGAATTGATCGATTTATATAAACATTGTTAGCCAAATCATAACATTGTTAACATGGGTATTATAGAATGTTATAGTAGTTGTTCATGTTTTGAACATGTCTCTATTCAAAGTTTATAAACATTTAAATATGCTTATATTTTGAGAACTGCATTGTCATTGCTTTAAATCTTAATTAAATTCAAAAAGAATAAGTTAAAATAGATACTCAAAATACTAATATCTAAAGATAACATTAAGTTTTGTTTGTTCTTATCCTCGTATACTCTGATTACAAAAGGTTTACTTATAGATTTACAATTAGGTTTGCATTGTTTACTTAGAAATAAATACGAATAGGATTCTCCAAAATATGCTTTTTATTGTGGCTTATTGGGTGGAATGATTTCATTGTCATTTTTGAAATATGAATAAAGAAAATTTTGGGCATTATATATGATTGTAAGAGCTTTGGACACAAGATTTCATAATTTGCAAAAGTATTTCTTAATAATATAATTGAAATAAGTATGCCTTTGTTATCATTTATTCATTTATGCAACTTATTGCAGCCTATGCTTATTTTTTTGAAGAAGATTCTTTTGGAGCAAAGTAAACACGTTTATGGGAGAGATTTCAAAATTTAAGTTTAAGAGAATCCTAATATAGAGCATTAACTAATTTATCTGTATATGCTAGATGAAACAATAATATTTTCATTTTAAAAATATATTTTATTATTAATCACTCTAAAAGCCATTCTTATTTTTATTAGACTTTTCTCTTTATTTTTAGTAATTACTTAATTGAGATAGGTTTAGTTTACTTTAAATTCTTTCAGTTTGACTGATATGACTATTAATATTAAGATTATAATGATGATTGGACTTTGAAACATCTGTAGGCTATAATGATGTTTTTAAACTGTTAGTTCTAAATTTACCACTTATTATATATTTTGAAAACCTATTGCTTAAATCAACATAGTTTTTTTTCCATAACAACTCTTCTTGTATATCAAATGTTACTAGAATCTAAATTGGACAATTTTCATTATTGCATCTTATTTAACCACCAAATATTTATCCCAATACAAAAACTACAGATGTATAACAACATTTAGATATTGGACAAATCAAACAATCTGTAAAGTAAATATAAAACACTTTAGTAATCTTATGTTGACATATCAATATATTTTATTCTCTAAACTCTATTTCATACATTAATTCTCTTAATAATCCATATAATATAGAATTTCTTTTATCACTAGGTAACAATGACGTCACATTATCTTCAAATCTGACTAAAGTATTATCTATATTTTACTTTCTCTCATCAATTATCTGCAGGTTCCTATTAAAATTATAAATATGTACTTTTTTGAAAACAAATCATTGGAAATATTTGACTATCCTCTACATCTCTAAATATACTAGGCAATATGACATCATTATGATAATATTTCAACTATTTATCATTTCTTTAACAATCTATATTCAATTTTCCTAATTTCAAATCAATCTCTTTCCTATTCATTACTTCATTTAACCATAACTTAAGATTCATATTATTACGAATAGTGACTCCTTTCATTAATAGTCCCTTCTGCTATTTCTAGGTACTAAGTTAATTACATTATGTAAACCTACGATGCTTTTTAGAATGAATTGAAAAGGTTTAAACCATTTCAGACATATTAATCATAATATCAATTATTTTATAATCATCTATAACTCTTTATTTACTTTTAAATTCTATAATCTTAACTTTTCTTCCTCATAAATCTTAGTCTCTTTCATCAAATAACAAATTTCTTTATTCTCCTTCATCATTCCTAAAAAATTACAAAATTCCTATTTAAATTATGGTGATTTTCTATCTAAAACACTAATCAAATTTGAAAATAGTTAATCCTTNATTACTTAATTGAGATAGGTTTAGTTTACTTTAAATTCTTTCAGTTTGACTGATATGACTATTAATATTAAGATTATAATGATGATTGGACTTTGAAACATCTGTAGGCTATAATGATGTTTTTAAACTGTTAGTTCTAAATTTACCACTTATTATATATTTTGAAAACCTATTGCTTAAATCAACATAGTTTTTTTTCCATAACAACTCTTCTTGTATATCAAATGTTACTAGAATCTAAATTGGACAATTTTCATTATTGCATCTTATTTAACCACCAAATATTTATCCCAATACAAAAACTACAGATGTATAACAACATTTAGATATTGGACAAATCAAACAATCTGTAAAGTAAATATAAAACACTTTAGTAATCTTATGTTGACATATCAATATATTTTATTCTCTAAACTCTATTTCATACATTAATTCTCTTAATAATCCATATAATATAGAATTTCTTTTATCACTAGGTAACAATGACGTCACATTATCTTCAAATCTGACTAAAGTATTATCTATATTTTACTTTCTCTCATCAATTATCTGCAGGTTCCTATTAAAATTATAAATATGTACTTTTTTGAAAACAAATCATTGGAAATATTTGACTATCCTCTACATCTCTAAATATACTAGGCAATATGACATCATTATGATAATATTTCAACTATTTATCATTTCTTTAACAATCTATATTCAATTTTCCTAATTTCAAATCAATCTCTTTCCTATTCATTACTTCATTTAACCATAACTTAAGATTCATATTATTACGAATAGTGACTCCTTTCATTAATAGTCCCTTCTGCTATTTCTAGGTACTAAGTTAATTACATTATGTAAACCTACGATGCTTTTTAGAATGAATTGAAAAGGTTTAAACCATTTCAGACATATTAATCATAATATCAATTATTTTATAATCATCTATAACTCTTTATTTACTTTTAAATTCTATAATCTTAACTTTTCTTCCTCATAAATCTTAGTCTCTTTCATCAAATAACAAATTTCTTTATTCTCCTTCATCATTCCTAAAAAATTACAAAATTCCTATTTAAATTATGGTGATTTTCTATCTAAAACACTAATCAAATTTGAAAATAGTTAATCCTTCAATAATTAATCAAATAAATCGCTGCATTCTTAATATTCTATTAATATATACTTAAACTATTTTAAAATTCAATTAAAAATTTGATTGTGCTTAAATTTATCTAATTTTCCTAACTTGCTAAATCTTTATAGATTATTGGCAATAACAAATTGAATTGTTATTTCAACAGTTTTGCCAAAACAAAATTCTTTTTCAAGATACCCATACTATATTAATATATTTCTATTCTTTCATTCTACTTTAAACTATATTAAAACAAGGCACAAAGTAATGTTGTAATTGATTATAACTTTTGCACTTCAAATTAATATTTATATGTTAATTATGAATCATCTAAATCTGGTAATTTTCTAGTTATGATATCTAATAGATCTATTAAAATAGTTGAATTCTCAATAAAATAATGATATCTATTTCTTTCCATTACTTTTAATAAAAGCTCATCCAAATGTAGCAATACAAATTCCAATTAATCTTAATTATCTTATTACATTAATCATATTGTATACCATTCAATATAAAAATGTATTATTTAATTATATTCTCAAATAATCCTTCATTTTTTATTTCTTATTCTTCAAAATACATATATTATTAATTTAATGCCAATATATATTGCTATGAACATGTTGATTTACTTAAATCATTTATAATATAATACTTACTATGTTAAATCAGAATAATCATAAATGAATTTGTAAAATTCTACAATTGATTTTCTAACAAGCTTTTTGATTTGAATTTGTATCTTGAATTAATTACCTGGTAACAAATACAATCCAAAAACTAATGGAAATGTAAAAACAAAAGCCCTAGTAAAAAATCTAATTTATTTATTTCTTAAATTATAATGAGTAAGTAATACTTCTTTAATATTGATAAATAACTTGATGTTTTATTTTAGTTAGCTGGATCAAAATAGGCTTCAAATAATTGTTCAAATTTTTTCTATTCCTGAGAATTATAATATCTAAAATTAATAATATTTCTCTAACTTTGGTTTAAAATTGAACATATATAAATTTTATTATTTATATTATAAATTTTAATAAAAAATAATATTTTATGAAAAAATAGAAAAGTATCATAATTGGATATGATTCAAAAAATAATAAATTTACAATTTAATTCATTTTTTATATTTTGAATCTTTCTCAAATGAATTAAGGATCTTTTTTTTAATACTTGTTAAAAAATATTATGTTTTTGCAAATAAACCTTAATTTTTTTGTGCAGACTATTATAATTAAACATATTATTACATCTATTTGATGTTGTTATATTTTTTACATATTTTCATCTTATATTTATTATAGTTTTTTCATCTATTATTGCATCATTTCGAAAGTCTTATTAGGAATATGCCATTAAGCTGAACTTCCTCTTCTTTAATATCTACTTTCTGAAAACTATTTGGCTATTTCTAAAACTCTGTTTTTCATCTTACCAAAGATTTAATGATGAGGTAAAAGATATTATTAAGATTAATATTGTTAAACTTTCTAAAAAATATTCAAAATAAAAATACCTATAAATTTTCAGCCCAATGAGGAACCTTTTTATTATTACAGTATAATCTCTTCTTTTTAGGAGTAAATTAGTTTTTATTTTCTAATTGTTGAAAATTCTATTACACATTTATACTATTAGTACAAAAATCTTCTGGAAATGGAAAATCAAATACTGAAGATTAAAATTAAAATTCACAATCTTGCAATAAATTTTCATCTTCAATACTACTACTTTTCCATTTATAAGAATGATGATCTAAATTAGATGATTCATTGGTATTATATGATGTAGCTTTATATTCAACAGAAGAACTGTCATACCATTCTGATTTTTTTGGAGATGTTTTTTTTTATTATTAACATTATTCAGCATTTAATATAATAAGTGGTTCACTTATATTTATAATTGATTCTAATTAATTTGAATTTTCTTATGGATATGGACAAATCATTTCCATAGATTTCAATTTAGTAATTAATTCTTCTGGATCAACTTAATCAATTAATATCATTAATTCCTTTTATTCTTATGCTTCTTTTACTTTATCAACTTTAATTTAAGATAATTAATAAGAAAGCAGTGATTATTTCTATTATTAGATTGGAGTATCATTAGTTAGATTTTAATTTTATTGTTTCTCTACTATTATTTAACTTTTTGTTTTTTATTTTTAAATACTATAACAATTAGAATTAGTTGATTTGACTGACATGTTTGGATTAAAATTTTCTTAACACTTCATATTTTCAATTTTAATTTAAACTGATTGTTAATTGTTAATAACATTAAGTTATTAATCTATATAACATTCTTTTGTTTTTGAATCTTTACCACAATCATCTTCAAATTCTTCTATAACTGCATCCAAATGAGATTATTTTTATGATTACATCATAATTGAATTGACAATCTTCAATGTTTAGTCTACACTCTCTAAAACACTATTTGTAACTAAAGTCATCCTTTATTAAGTTTAGATAGTGATTTAGGAAGCAGCTGCAGCAACATGGATGGAAAGAGCTAGTACTTCTTTTGAAATGTCTTGTGTCATTTAAATTTAAAAAATAACAATAACAAGCGCAAAAATTAATATGCTAATCTTTGATTCATATATATTATATTATAATATAATAACTATAACTATAGTTATTGATATTATATATATTTCTTATAATAGAAAAGAACCATTACTAAATGTTATGAATTTATTATATTAAAAAATTACTCAAAAACTTTCAACTGAAATTTTCTAGATTATTGGTACATTTGTTCCTGGTGCCTATTCCTGAGAAAATAATTGAACACATTATGAAAATGTTATTTATTGATTATTGTATGGATCTATTTTATTCAAATATCTCTAAATATCAAAATCATTGGTTCCAATATTCAAATCTGTAATCAATTATCGAAATTCATTCTATTTATATATATATTATTTTTACTTCATCTATAATTCCATTCTAATCTTAATCTTATAGTTTAAATTGTTAAATAAATTTTGATAAATATTTTTCATGTGATTTCATTTAAAAATCTAAAATAACTTTCTAAAATATTGAAAATTCAATCTTAGATTTATCTTTCTCATTTACTATTTACAATTACTCTTCTCTAGTCATTCTTTTCTCTACATGTTTTGCAGGCAATAGAAAATATTATTTTAATTTGTTAAGAATTAATTCTGAATCTTCTTGATTATACATATATTTTATTATATCTTCAGCTTCTTCTTAGAATATAAAACTATTAACTCTTTAATTCATCATTTCTTTTATATCAGCATTTGTTTTTAATGGAAATTTCCCTCTCAAATACATCTAATATTATTATTATTATTAAAATATTACCTTCAATAATTCCAATATTGTATTCTTCACTTAACCTTAAACAAATCTAAATTCTTCATCGCATTCATTCCTTAAAATTTTGCCAAATACTGCAACATCATTATCATCATTTCCATATCTTTTTAATGCATTTATAATACAAGAAGCCCATTCCAATATTAAACTTTTTAAACCATATTTCTAATTTAAAAATGTATACATATGTTATTCCATTGTTTCTCTTGGTAAATGAGAATCAGAACATTTTTAATCAAATTTCAACTTACTTTCATATATTTCTTATATTAAATCTTTAAATTATTTTAAAGTTAACATTTTAACCAATTAAGGTGCTTATACCAACACATTTGATTATAATTAATTATTCTTATTTTGAATAGATGCATATTAATTTTATTATGGTCTTATTAAATTTAAAGCAATAGTTTTGTCATTATTATTCTATTATATAAATTATGATGAATTATCTATATTTTAATTTTCAGTCTTTTACTAATTATTTAGAATTTAATGTAATTGAATTTTTTCACCTTTTCCATATTTAATTAATAATTCTAAATAAGTTTTATTTTCTTATTCAATTTCTCTTGTATATGATTACAATTCTTATAATTCTTATCTAAGTCTTTATTCTGTTCCCTTTTCTTAATTAGATTATCCTGAATTAGTTTCTAATAATTTTTTTTGTATTGATTATATTGATTAATTATCTCTTACATTCATAATAACATTAGTCATATCTGTAAATATCTATTGATGTTAATCATGTATTTTAGTTAGAATCTATTCTAACTTTTTATCTGTTAATTTAAAGTATCTTATAAACAATTAAAAACAAACTTCATATAAATTATATTTTGCCTATTTTTAAAATAAATTTTAAACTTTTAGAATTGTTAAATTTGTAATATGTTCAGGTGTTTTTTATGCTAATTTGGTCTATAATTCTTTCATTATAGTCTTAACTGAGTTTTCAAAAACTGAAGATATTTATTTTTCTGATTCTTCATCTTCTTTTCTTAACTCTTTGATACTATCATGAAGCAACTATAAATATATAATATAATTTATACAGCCATCTATTCTAAATCTTCTTATTATAATGTTATTTCCAATCCTGTTGCTGATCTCTCTGATTACATATCACTTTGTTATTCAGATTAATCTTCAATTTTAATAGCTTATTGATTTAACATTACTAATTATGGTAGATTTTCAATTATAAATTCTTCTTCTTCTTTAGATTTTAATGCTATTTCTAAATGATTTAATGAAGGTAATGTTTTTAATGATTAAACTACTTATTATAACTAAATTAAAAATAAACATTACATTTTCAAACATATTATTTGTTATATCTAAAGTTTCAAGATTCTTTAATTAAGATAGATCATCTGGTAATTATCTTAATCTATTTCCATGTAAATTTAACTATAATTATTATGTATTTAACTTACTTCTTTGAGATTCTTAAATTAAATAAGCAGTGGAAGCACCTCTTTCAAATTTTCGATTTGTCTGATATACTACTATTATTTTACTTGAATTCTAGATCAATAAGAGATAAGTTTGTTCCAGATTTTTATATTATCTTTTGCAAAACTTCCATTTCAGGAATAAATTATAATTATATATATATATAATATTTATCACTAACATGATTGTCATTTTTATTATCCATTTTGGAATTTAATATTTGAGTTGCAAAGTTGTTATTATGATTGAATCCATCTTAACATCATCATCTATTACTCTTATGTCATAATTGGATAAGGCATATAATTCATATCCTGATTATACAATTATGGCATTTAAGTTAATAATTGTTATTATTATTATTAAAACATAAGCATTTATTGCATAACAGCAGCTTAATACTATTATTGATCAAATTATTTAAATTATGATTGTTAAAAGATCATTTATTACATCTATTATTAATATTATTATTGATATAATAATTACTATTATTATTACATCTACAATTATGGAATTTATTAATTTAATTATTTCTTTTACACTTTATTATTATTGTTATTACTTTTATCTTAATTCTTGCTATGTTTATTTAATTCTGACTACACAATCTTTTGAGTGTATCTTTTGACAGAATAATTAGCTTAAGCAAATTTCATAACAATTAATCCATGATTATTTAATTGATTATTGCCATGTAATTTATTTAATAAAGCAATAAATTCATTCCTTTATTATTATTCCAAATATTCAAATAATCTTTATATTGGATAATTAGCATATTGATCATTTATCAATTTCTTAAATGAACTATAAAATGATATAATTCTATATCTACCTTTCAGAAATAGAAACTTCTTCTTCCCATAATTTCAATCTCCATTACGGTCCTGCATATATAATAGCTTTTTCTGCTACATTGCTACCATACTTATCCAAAGACATTGAAATAAAATCTTTAATAAGATATTAATCCATTAATAATCTTTTATGAACTTCTTATCCTTTTTCCAATATTTATTAAATTATATAATTAGCATATTATCTTCTAGTAAGACATGAACAATTTTCAATAGCTCTAACTATTATGTCATTGCAAATCTATTTAGTTTATAATTCAAATTATTTTGGATAAATATCAATTATTTTATTGACAATAAGACATCCATATTGATCAGTTGATAATTCGAACTTTTCTTTGTTATTATTAAGAATCTATGAATAATATTCAATTATCTTACATATTTTTATAGAATTTAAAGTAATTTCAATAGATTGTTTCCTTCAAGGATTTCCAAACTCTTTTAAATAATTTGATTAGCAATTTTATCAATATAAATTTTCTTCATTAATGCATTATCTTAATGTATAAATGAAAGATAATTCTCAAATTATTCTGGAGAATCTTATGGATTAAATGTCATAACTTCTAAACCTTTTTGCATAACTTTACAAGCATAAAGATCTTTAATAAGTTTATGTATTTATTTATATATTCTATCTAGAATAATATTTTTATGGGATGGTGGACCTTAACAATAAATAATCCTAAATTACCAACTTCAATTATTTTTTCAAGTATATAATGTCTGTACTTGTCTAAACTAAAATTTTCAATATCATTTTTTATATAAGTGTTAAATACGAATTCTTTTTCTTTTAAATTAGCATTCTAATATTCTAACTACATTTTTCTAGAATTTTTTGTCAACTTTTCATGACTAAGATATGATGACCTAATCGTTTTAAAAATTGAATGTACATGTCAGCTGTAAAAGCTTAAGTTAATGAAGGTTTAAATGAATCACTAAGTAAGACTTAATTTAATTATTGATTTAGTTCATCAAATTCATCATCTTAAATATATAATTAAAGATAGTACCATCTTAGTGTAATTAATCTTCAAAAAACTATGCACAGAATGCTTTAGAATTATTTGAATTTTCAAAGAGTGTAGGAGTGGCTGTGGAACCACTTTAAGATGGATGACATTTCAATTCATCTTCATCTTTATTAAATTCAACAGGAATATGAGGATTGGCCATTTTTTTGATAATAATAATTATTATTATTAATAATAATAAAAGTATTCTTTAAAAACCCAGCAAAAAATACCATTTAATTGATTAAATATAATAGTAATATTTAAATAAATTAAACCTATAAAAAACTAAGTAATTGCAGAACATAAACAAAAGAAGTCAAGCCTTATTAATCCAACCCTCAGGAATTATTTATACATTCGTCTCCTCACTACAACTAATTAACTTTCCATTGACCCATTCTCCAAATTTCTTCTTTCCCTCTTTATTTATCATCAGTCCTTTACCATGTTATTTACCATCAAACCAATAACCTTAATATTGTTTACCATCAGCCCAAACGAAAATGCCAAAACCACATTTTTTATCATATTCATATTCTCCATCATAATGCTTTCCATCCTTCCATAAATACTTTCCTCTCCCATGCATCTGATTCTTATTCCAATTTCCTTAATAACACTATAGATACATTTATACAATTACCCTACCATCTGACCATTCATATCTTCCTTAACCATGTATCATATTCTCAAACCACTCTCCCTCATACATACATCCTTAACTCCACTTATATAATCCTTAACCTTGTTTTTTACCATTTTTGAACTATCCCTCATAAATTGATCCATCAGGCCACATCTCCTTACCTATTCCTTCAGATTTCCCATTCAAAAATTATCCACTATAAATAGGCCCTCTATTATAATAATAGACACCATTTCCTTAGATTATATTGTCAATTATGTCTCCTTCATAAATATCACCATTATTTAACCATAACTTTCCTTTTCCATTTGCCTTTCCATCTACCACATTACCTTAATATCTTGATCCATCTGCTAATATAATCTCCTCTCCTCTTTGTTCTTCAGTTAAAGCCATTTCTTTATTTTCTATTGTAGCAGATAATTTAGGATCATTTTAATCATAACATTCCTCCTTCCCTAACATTCTTCCTCTCTTATAATTATCTAAACATGGTGGCCTATCTTTCCTATAATTTATAATAATACTATGTTTTTTAACTTCATCCTCCTCATCTAAAAATGATTACTCTACGTCAGGACTCTCATCTCCTAACTCTTCATCCATGTTCTTAATGTCAAACTCTTCCTTAACTGAGTAAGCTTTGCATTTCTGGCATTCCTATCCCATTTTAATTTATATATATTTTAATTTAATTGGTATTTTATAGATTCAAAATCTGTATGCGATACATGTAAATTAGATTATTTATATAGTAAATTTAAGTTATTTGAAATGTAAGAAACATTGAATTAAATTAACCTCTTTTTTATTAAATATTAAAATTAATTTAATAACTTATCAAAAAATATAATCAAACATAAGTACAATCTTTAGTCTTATGAGGAACCTTAGTGAAAGTAATAGGTTTTGAATGAGAGAAATAATTATGTTACGATGTATTGACTATTTTATTACTTAAAGGTCCTAAAGGCATTGGAGAAATTTAATAATCAATAGAGTTGCTAATCTAAATTCTTTTTGCAGAAACTGAACGATCTTAATAAAGAGATCTTTAAGTTTCCAATAATTGATTATACTTCTCTTCTGCAGTTAATTTTTTTTTATTCATGATTATTTATCTTGGAGATATAGAAGTATTCAAACTTTTTTAATCTTAAATAAAAATAAAAATTACAACATTCAAGTGTTGAAGATCTTTCTTTATAGAGATCCAAAGAAACCTATTTAATTGATCCTAATGTATTTTTTTATTTATGCATAATTCTCTATTTAATTTAAGTGCCCACTCCTAATCTCTCAAAGATAGGAGTTCTCTTTTTAAACCAATGAATAAGTGTTTCAATAAAAGAATGATCTCTTATACCATTATGTTATTGATTTGTGTATTGGATTTATTTGATACCTGTATAAGATTTAAAAAGTTTTTCTGTTTATTCAGATGGTACAATAGTATCTGATTTGGAAGTGACAAATATAGCAGGACATTTAATTGTAGAAATCTTTTTCAAACAATTTATATCCTCTAAATCAAATCCTGCTTATTTTTTGAGTTCATTTGATACAAATGTAGAAAGACTCTTCAATATGAAATTAGGAATTTTAGTTTTAGTTGATGCCATTTATAAAATGACCTAATTCAATTGAAGTATTTATTTACATCATATAAGCAAACAAATGGACTATCCAAAATCATTCCTTTGATGAGTATATTATTGAATTTTTGCATATATTATATAGCAACGGCAGAACCCATAGATCTTCCCCATAATATTATTTATTTATATGATGATTAGAAATGTGTAATAACAGTTTATAAATCTCCAACTTCTCTATATCCATAAGTCACAATATCTCCATCAGACATTCCAGATCCAGTAAAATCAAATGAAATCAAACCAAAGCCATTTTTAATAATCATTGATACATATTTGCTCACTTCCATTCTAGAACCATTGGCTGTATGCAAATATATAATGCAAACATCACTTTTTTATTAGCCTATGTATTAACTAACTTTAATAACTTCTTATCTAGGATTGATGATATCAATATCCTCTCTTATATATTAACTATCTTCTTAAATCTAATAAGAAGCTATTGATAATAATAATTATGTAGATATACATAAATCATATATTGTATATTCTGCTCTTGCTGGTCTAATTATTTATTAGCAAATTTGATTCAATCCATTTTGGAAATACTTCATTCGTTAATTAAATTAAAAATATATATAATAAATGAAATAATAAATTAAACAAGATGATTCTATTCAACCAATGATAATATTGTAACCATCCTAATACAAATTTATGATTTTTATGGATTCTTCTCTCTAAAAAGATTTAGACAAATTATATAATAAACATAATAAACAAATGTACTTAATAAATTAATATTCAATAATAGTATAGATAAAGAGAGATTTGAAAAAATATAATCAGTCAAGGATTAAGTTAAAGGTTTAAGAGAAATCATCAATGATTATTAAACTTAATAAAATGAAATAGATAGTCTCAAATTGCAATTGCAGAATTAGATCAAAGCTATTTTATCAAAAGAATAAATTATAAAAAATATTGAAGATACTTATATGCAATAAATGGATGAAGTAAAATGATCTCATTTTATTTTATAGATCAAAAATAACTATGAATAACGTCAATTTGATTTGGTTAAAGAATGTGAATAATTAAAACTTAGAAATAAAGAATTAGAAGAAATTAATATTAAATATCTTACATAAAATGATTTATTACTAAAAGCTAATAATAACTATTAATAAAGACTTAGTGAAGTAGAAATGAAACTCACTTTAGCAGAAAAGAACAACCTTGTAACATCCTTTGAATTAGAATAAATGAAAGAAATAAGAGCAGGAGCATTATTTATTCAAGGAGCTTATAAAATATTAAATTAATAATATCAAGAAAGTAATATTTACACTCTTTTGACTAATAAATATAAATCTACTATCTTATCATTTTTAGAACCTAAAGATATATTTGCATTAATGTTAACAAGTAAATAAATGTATTTTATCATCTAAAATAATCGATCATTATTAAATTACATAGTCAATTATAGAACCTCAGTTTTAAATAAAGAAATAAAGTATTTAAAAACAGAATTTAAGTAATATTTTCATTTAATTTTTTATTAGTTATTTTAATGATATGGTTTATTAAGTTCCAGAAGAAATAATTTAAATTGGAATTGCTAAATTCTTAGTTTTTAAATTCAATATTGGATAATATATGAATGAGATATTTAATGATGCATATGAATTAATTGAGGGCAAATTCCAAAATTAATAACAAGTTTTATAATAATAATAATAATAATAACAATAAACCTAAAATGATTCTATTTATTAGAATGAAGATTTATTAGGATTAGGAGAAACTGATGAATAATAATAATAAAAATAATAAAACTCAACATAATACAATGTCGCATAAACAGCCTCTAATATATTCACCAAAATTAAATCATATACAGGTACTCATGTCTAAAATTCTAATAAAAATATTAATGTCAGTCCTTCTTAACCTTAATAAAATAAATAGGTGAAATCTTTAAGTGATTTATCCATATAACTTTAATAAGAATATTAAGATATTGATTCACTTATTTTAGATTCCTTGTAGGTTCCATTCCTTAAAGCTTAAGTAATATAAACAAGAAGAGAAATGGTTGATCTAGTTAAAAAGAGTTTATAAATCAATCAACAGTTATTTTAAACTGGTAGAAAATGTATTCCAACACCTACTTATCAACCAAAATTTACTATGTAGGACTTTATGCAAGTATTATAAATGACTTTTTCTAAATTCGTAGCTCATGGACATTATCTACATTTAGAATCCTAATAATTATAATAAACTTGTAATTATTTCTCAAAACTATTACTTTTGTAACATAAATAAATTTATTAATTAAAATCTTAAATAGATGATTAGAAAGTTGAATTAGATTCTCAAAAAGAAATGAAATATTATATTCAAGATAGAGCAAAAAGATTTGAAGAGAGAATTATTAAAGCAGAAGAATAAATATTTACTTTAAATAAATTAAATTTTGATTAAAAATCATAAATATAATAATTGTAGAAAAAAGAAAAAGAGTTAGAAGACTTAATTAAAGAAAAAGAGTAAAAGACTTAAACTTTATTTTAAGCTGTAAAATAAATTAAAATAGAAAAAGATTAAATTGAAAAACAATTAAATTAAGTATTAATGAACTTCAAAAATATGAAAAATGCCCTAGGTAAAATAGTATGATATTATAAATAATGATTATCTATGTAAGTTAATTTATATATTAAAATTAATTAATTATTTATTAATATTATTGATATTAATTATAATAGAAACAGAATATATTTAATCTAATTTATTTTTAATAGAATATAGTTTTAATATTACAAAAATACAATAAACAAAAATTAGAATTCATTTTTAAAGGTATTTTAAAAGTTATTCTGCTTGATTAAGTGTTTATGTTTAGATTTAATATTGATTATTCTAGTAAGTAGATGTCAAAATAGTTTATCTTCTTTCTAATTAATAAATAGCATTTGATCTTTAAATTCTATTATAAAATAATTCCATTAAATTTTAATGCTAGATATAATCGTATTCAGCTAATTCTGAAATATCATATATAATATTATTAACTGGTTCCTATTCTAATGAATACTAGTACACATCTTATTCCTTGCAATAAAATTTTTAAATTTTATTAAATAATTCTTTTTAATAAAATTTAATATAATGATATAATTAATCATTATTTTTTATACTCGAAATTACTGAACTACAATTTGTAGATGTTAATGAAATTCCTGATGTTCCTAAACTTTCTGTTACTATATTTTCTGTAGAATTATATAAATCATCATCCATTAAAGCTACCTATTTAAATAAAGATCTAATTTTTATTTAAACATTTTATTGTAAGGATAAATGGTATCTAAAGTTTTAAACCTCATTACCAAAGATACTATTCTAAGTATTTTAATCTTCAAAATTTTTAACCAAAATCTTAGACATTTATTAGCTTTCTTAATGAAATTGTTTAATCTCATATTTGAATTGCTCAACTCTAAATGCAGATGATAATTCAAATATATAATATTCATATACATACTATCCAAATATATAAATCAATAATTCTTCATCTTATTAATACTCAATATTTAATTTAGGTGATAAATCTATTGTTAAATTAATTAGTTAATTAAGTTCTTAGCAATATTAAAAATTATAATAACCATATTAATGAATATTATTTTGATTTGTACTAATATCAATTAGATATTAAACATATTATCTTAATAGTTAAGATTTAATTTTTTTATTTCTACCTTCTATCATTTATAATCTAAAGTCTTCTCTTAACTTGACAATGAGTTCTCCTTTATTAGCTTTCTTCATCCATTCACATACCATAAAATGACGGATAGTATATTTTGGTAATTTGTATTAAGGTAGACTTTCATCAATGATTTTATTAAACAAGAATATTAAGTCAAATGTTTAATTTTCTACTGAACTTATCCATCCTTAATAATGATGCCAAATTTATATAAATTATTCTAAATTACATTTAGAAAATCTTATTTCCAGATATTTACAAAATATTTTTACATAATCATGTAAATTATAGATTAACATCAGTAGTTCTGGTAATTATGTATGGATTTCAAATCCTTACCTTACTCTTAATAATATATCTGTATTATTTGATGCAAAATGTAGTGCTGATCTGTAATCAACAGTTTTAATAAATTATTTTTTTTCACTAAGTTAATTTTCATAATATAGAATGGCCTTCTAAAATCCACTGTAATGTATTTTCTGTTCTATAAAGATTGGGAATTATTTAATTTAGTATCTTACACTTTTGATTGCTTCTCCATAAGGTAATGATCTTATAGGAATGCACATTACACTTTATAAGATTATTTTCCAATTTTAAGATTAAATTAACTCACACTTAACATTCAAAAGTCTTTAACATTCTATTTGAAAACAACCAGAGGTTTGATTAAATATTTAATATGTAGTTTTTGAAACTAAAAGTAAAGTGTTAAATTCTTAAATATTCAAAAAACATGTAATTAGTGATGATGTTTTTTATGATAACTTTGAAAAGAGACTAAAAATAAAATGAAATAAATGTATACTTATCCTTTTTTATTAAAAACAATTTCTTAAATTATTACTTAGTTTTGGTTGTGAGCTTGATATGATTTTTATGCTATGACTAATGATTTCCCATTGTGTATAATTAAAAATAAATATAGAAATTATGAATTTTATAAATCAATTCAAAATCGTGAAGGTCTAATTTCTATGGAATTTGATAAAATAGTAAATTTTTATAATGGCCCTCTACTAATTTATTATTCCCAATTAGTATCATCCATTTCTATTCCTGTTACAAAATATACTGCAATCTGATTATTTGAAATTACTTTTACATTGATAAGTTTTCTTTAAAAAAAATATATAAACTCTCTTACCCGTCATTCTCTTAGAGATATTCATTCATAACATCCATAATTTGATCTCTAATTAACTCAACATTATCATAAGATTTACATTAAACTCTTACCATTTTAAATCTATGATTTAAAAGTGGACTTGTAATTTTTATCATTCTAAATAAATTAATTAGTTTATGCATACATTTCGCACTTTATATTTTTCTTAGCTAGCAGAATAACATTTTGGAAAAGCCATGGGAAAAGTGATACATGTACTTGATTAATATGGACCCCTTTAATATACAGATATTTTAAAATATACATAATTTGATGATTTAAAATTCTTAGAGATTGTTATTACTCTTGGAATAAAACATTAAATCATAGGTTATAAAATCAAAAAGCAATAGGATAATGCCTCTGAAATAAAATAATTATTTTAAAGTGATAAAGAAAAAAAGTAATCAGATGATTAGAAATAAACTAAAAACAAATAAAAACAAAAAGGATTAATATTTGTTAATCATAATGCAATATTAGGGAGAGAATATGTATCAGAATTGTTGAATATAGAAAAAAATTATAATATTATTATTGATTATGCACTCAAAAATGGAGTATTTGGAATAAAAAATCTGATTTCAGAAAATATAAAGGAAAGTGCTTTAGAAGTTTTGGTTAATGAATTATTTGACAAAAGTTTATTATAAATTGTATAAGTTGATTAATAAGAGGAAATCTAAGAAGCTACATATAATGATACAAAAAATAAATCTGATAAGAAAACTTAAAAAGCAAAAAAAAAAATAGAAGTTTCAACTTAAAAGTAACAATCTCTTACATAGAATTCCCTTTTATAAATAAATTGGACAGGATTAATGGATATTGTAAAATATAATGTATTTTTTTTATATAAAATATAGACTATTATGTAATAGCTAAAATAAATCTATGGGATTTCCAGTTTTTAAGATTAAAATTTATATAAATAAAAATAGAAAGAATTAAAGGAAAATCTAGAATTCAAATGGATTGAAGACAAATATTCTCAAAAACACTCTAGAGTATTCAATTTATTAAAATTGAAAAATTGCCCATTAGATGATAAATAAGTATTATAAATCTTTAGATCTTAGGTTTGTGACTTGGCTCTATTAAATTATTAAGATTCCAATACTATACTTTTTGAATTATTAACAGATTAATTAATTAAAACTCAAATAATTAAAGTGAATGATAAAGATAAATAATTCTTTCAATTTGATTAGAAATTAGTTGATGAAAAATTAAAACTTCATTTCTATAAAGGTTTAATAAGTTGTAAAGATAAAAAACTTTATTTTGGGATTTTGAATTAGATGAATCTAATGTAATTTGATGTTAGAAATTGATAATTTTATAAAATGTGTGGTCATAGCATAAGAAATAAATTTTTGTTCAATAATCTTTATCCCAATTAGGATCTCTTGCTATTTCTGGTTTATATATGTTATTTGTTGTTGTAGGATCAGTCTATGGTTATATAAATATTTTATACTTTAATTTCTTCAGTAATGAGTTTCCCAGCCTAAATGGCTTTTTAGATTTCTTTGTCACTCTATAGTTTGCTTTTAGGTGGAAGATAGGGAGGCTTTAAATCTCGATTCATTAATGAATCATAATCAAAGTGTTCAAAAAATTAATTATTTTTTAAACTTGCATATGATGATCCTAATCTTAACTCAGGAGTTTTGCTTAAGAGTTATTCAATTAGTTTCTTAGCTTTACGATCTTTGAGGACAGAAGGGAAATTCAAGGATTTTCTTTAGATTTCCTCATAAATATCATATCTAAATAGTTTAAATCAAGATTTACGGATCTTCTGCGTCCTCTGCATAGGGTACATTACCACACATAAATTCATATAAACATATTCCTATAGACCATAAATCAACTGAATATGTGTATCCTTTTCCAGATATTATTTCTGGAGCCATATAATGAGGAGTTCCAATAATAGTATATGTTCTACCATTCTTATTTTTAAGATTTTTAGCAGTTCCTAAATCAATCAATTTCATAAAACCCTTACAATAAATATATTTTATACTTTATCATCAACCATAATATTTTCTGGTTTAATATCTCTATAAATAATGTTATTGAGATGGAGATATTCCATACATAAAATTAATGATCCTATATAAAATTAAGAATCATAAGTATTCAAAAGTCCAATTTCTCTAATTACATCAAATAACTCCATTCCTTTTATATATTCTTATAAAAAGTATATGTAATTTTTATCTTAAAAGCTCTTAATGAAATGCATAATGAGTGGAAAATTAGCTGTTTATAATGTTTATTTCTCTTAGGCTAAATGCTTTTCTAAATTTTACTCAATTATTTAAGCTTTAGATATGCATTTAAGTGCATAATTTTTCTTATCAGATTTATTATGAACTAGATAAACATTACCAAATTATCCTTATCCTAATTTCTTTATTGATATTAATTCTTCTAATTTAAAATGGTCATACTAATCTTTTTTTTATCCTTCTTCCTTTTTTATGAATCTATCATGGGCTTTCTCATTTTTTAAAAAGATTTACTCTAAAGTACCACCAATAATTTCAAAAAAGACTTTTATTTATATCTGACTTATCAATCCGTCTGATTTCATTATCAAAGAATCAGTTAAATTTTAATTTTATTATTCCAAAAATTTATCACCAAACATTTACCCTTTTTCTATTGATTATTATCCATATTAAATATTTGCCATTAAAACTACTATCAAATGTGTACATTATTATCCTTTCTCTATAATCACATCTCCTTATTTATATTATTTTTGTTCCATTGTACTTACTATCCTTTCTACTTAAAGTTTTGTTAATTATTTTAAAATAGGATGACGTTCAAATGCCCATCTTTATAAATTCAAAAACATAATAGTCTATATTTTATCTCCCAAAATTCTTGTCAAATCATCTCTTGATAAAGCCAATAATATAACATCTTAATGTGCTTTTGCTGTTGCTCCTCTTACTGAATTACTTTATAAAGCTTATTCCCCTAAAGAATCTCCTTATTACATTATTCTTAATTATTTGCCTCCTTTAGAAATCTCTATCTCTCCTCTCTTTATAATAAAAAATGAATCTGCTTAATCTCCTTCATTCACAATTATCTCACCAGCTTTAAAGTTAAGAGTTATAAGAACTGATGTAATTGCTGTTCTTTAATCATCAGTAAGTGATTCTATTCTATTATTTATATTTTATTACCAAAAAATTGAACTTTCTGTATAAATTCCTTATTTTATTCATAATCCTTTAATGAGATTTCCTCTATCACTTTTCTAACTGTGTTTCTATCTATTGCCCAAAAGGCACAATCTAAAATATTATTAAATTTAGTACCTCCTACAGCTTTCACTGAAGCAGATCTTGGAGCATTGTATAATAATGCTAATTCACCAAATGCTTCTCCAGATTTTAATGTTTTCTTTACATCATTATTTATTATAATTTAGCATTAACCTCTTTCAATCAAAAAATATGAACTTCCCTTATCTCCTTATTTAAATACCATCTCTTAATCTTTCACTGTACAATAGAACATTTTATCAATAACTTTTACTCAAAATAATATTCAATTTTTGATACATGTCGTCGCCTTACAACTGTGCAAATATAAAACTATTAGTAAATGCATTCAATAATAGTTAAAAATCAAAAGGACTTTTTGCTTTATTTTGTTTTTAGATATTTTCATAAATTACTTCCTAATCAATAACAGCTGCTATTTATGCCATCTTTTTGTTTTCTCTTCTTTTTAACTAAAAATCTATTTTTATAAAATACTTCTTAATTATTTTCACCTCTCATCTTTTATCCATCCTAATTATCTTATTATTGTTTTTGATCGTCCGTTATAGATTCTTATTTTTAATCATTATTATTTTCTTATTTTTCATTTCCTTTTTTTCTTTATTCTTCAATTTCAACTTTTTTATTTAAATCTACCTCATTTTCTTCTATTAACTAAACCTATGGCTTGCAAATATTCCCCATGATGATATATTTATATTTATCACAATAAAAAATTGTTAATATTAATGAATTAAACTAATTTATATTATAGTCAATCTTGCTCATTTATATAAAGTCACTTTAAAATGTATTTTTATATAATTATCTAATCCTATTTATTACAACCCTTTTGTTTATTCATAACAAACATATTGAGAATGTTTAAAAATAATCATTAATATTAATTATAGACATTTCAAAGATCAATATAAATATATTAATATTTAATATTGAAGCTTATTGCATTAATTCACTCTGAAAAGAGCAACTTAAAGTTATCTATTTTTATTATTCCAAATTCTTAAATGGAGTGTATCTTTATATATAAATTTTATTTTATTATAAAAGTCCATTGATTATAATATTTCATTAATTATATTATAATTAATAATCAATAATGAAAATTATAAGTATTAGCTATATATATATAAATATGTTAACTTAATTTAGATGATAGATGCTCTTAAAAAAAAATGATATTTTATTCGATAATCATCAGAATATTATGATATATACTTTATAATTTTTCTAAATTGTATTGTAAATTAAAAACTTGTATAGTTTTTTACTTTTTTCACACCTAATCAAAATGTTATGAATTGTAAATTTCGGTATTTATTTTTATAATTTTATCTCTAAATGACCACCACAAAATTTATAATATAGTAAACTCTTTTTTGTTCTGCCCTTTAGATTTGCTAATTATTTTCAAGATTTTAAAAATCATTTTTTGCATACTGAACTACCCTATATCAATAAATATTGAAAAAAACAGAGAAATTCAATTCAATATAATAAGAATGAAGTTTAAAATTAAAGGTCAGCAATTAAAAAATTGTGTGCGTTTTATTTTTTTATCTGAATTGCTTTTTATTTATAATGACCTTATTCTTGGCTGAATTTTGAGGTTGAAAAATATTAAGAGCTTATTTGAGAAGTCTAAGATAACAATAACTGATTTTGTGATTTTATCAAGTAAACCCTTTAATTAAACATTATATGTATATATATATTATCAATCTTAGTGGATTAGCCGAATGTAAATTTTCAATAAAATGATCCATATGTTTCGTTTGTATATTATTTTGATAGCGAAACTTTTGGTTTTATTGATTTGAGAATTCTTCTTTACACAATTGGATTTTTTTTAATCGAATACATCCTTGTGTCAGAATTCTCTGTATCAAAGTTGACTCCTATACTTAGTTTAGCACCTTCCCTTATTTATGGATTTGAAACTTAGCAAATAACTTGATCAGTTGTTTAATTAGAACTAGTACATCCCATTTTTACTTAAATTAATAATTAATATTAATTCATTAATAATTTGAACTGTTTAAAAATGTTAGACAAATGACGTATGACATAAGAGTCCAGTTGAGTTGGTCAATATTTGATATATATTCATATTATTATTAATTATAGATTATCATATTCAAACAATTTTTGTCATTATATCTTACTATAAATCATGTGAAGATTTTTTATGTTTTATCTCAAATTTGTATAATTATAAAATGATATTTGATATATATAATAATAAAAAAGTATTTAATGAAGTTAAAGAGTTTATTTTTAAATAAAATTATATGTTAAGCTTTAATACTATTTCATAAGACAATTATTTAATAATTATTCATAATTAATAGATTAAACTAATATAATTTGAGTATAATCAAAATATTATATTATTTCAATTAAATGTATATTTAATGAGAAATAAAATTAATTAGAAAGTGGAGAATATAACCTATTTATCTTATAGGAAAACACTTTTTTAATTTTTATAAAATAATATGACTATTTATGCAATAATAAAGAGAAGATAATATAAATTAATAGTTTATCTAGAAATTATTTAACAAAAAACAAATAAAGTAAATGAAAGAGAATCCTGAATGAAAAAGGAGTTAAGAATATCTATAAGGTAATAATTAATTTTGAGTATGAGATATGAGCAGTTAAGAATGCTTAGAGAGTAGAATTTGATTTTTATTTTGAATAACTAATATGATGATTATGAATATATTATTAATAATTATAAAATGTCAGACGAAATCGAACCACATATATTAAAAAGATATGAGATAGTTAGAAAGATAGGAAAGGGTGCATATGGAGTTGTAATAAAAATATTATATAAGTTAAGGTATGGAAAGCTATAGATAAAAAATGTAAGAATACTTGTGTTGCATTGAAAAAAATATTTGATGCATTTTAAAATGCAACAGATGCCTAACGAACATTTAGGGAGATTATGTTCCTATATGAATTGGATCATCAAAATATTATTAAACTATATAATGTTCATAGAGCAGAAAACAATAAAGATATATATTTAGTTTTTGAACATATGGAAACAGATTTACATGCTGTAATACGAGCAGGTATATTGGAAGAAGTACATAAATAATACATAATATATCAAATACTAAAGAGCATTAAATATATGCACTCAGCAGAATTATTACACAGAGATTTGAAACCTTCAAATATTCTGTTAAATAGTGATTGTTCTGTTAAAGTTGCTGATTTTGGTTTAGTAAGATCAGTAGCATGTCGTTAAGATGCACCCTCTCCAGTATTAACTGAATATGTAGCAACAAGATGGTACAGAGCTCCTGAAATATTATTGGGATCTCACACATACACTAAAGGAGTAGACATGTGGAGTATAGGTTGTATTCTAGGTATCAATAATATTCATAATATAAAAGGGGAATTACTAACAGGAAAGCCAATATTTCCTGGCAATTCAACTTTAAATTAATTAGATCGAATATTATAACTGACAGGCAAACCATCTGTTGAGGATATTGAAGCTATACAAAGTCCTTTGGCATCAACTATGTTAGAAGCAATCAATCCTCCATAAGTGAAGCCTATTCATTAATTATTTCCAACAGCAAGTGATGATGCTTTGGATTTAATGTATAGTTTATTAAAATTTAACCCCAATAATCGACTTACTGCTGAAAAAGCTTTAGCTCATCCTTATTTTTCAAAGTAATTTTACATCACAAACAAATAGTTTTCACAATGTAGATGAAGAACCATCTTCAGATAAAATAATCACATTAGCAATTGATGATAATCAGAAATTCTCAGCAAATGAATACAGAGACAAATTATATGAAGAAATAGCTACAAGAAAAAGATATAGTATAAGAAATTAAGAAGACCTAAATTCTTAATTGCATTCTCCTCCTCCTGTTTCTGATTCTAATTAATTAAGAGAAAGACCATAAACTTAAGAGGTCAAACCATAATAATAATAAGACAGTGCTAAATTATAGGATTCTGCTAAATAATAAGATTCAGCTAAGTGTTATGATTCAGCCAAACTATAATAAGATCCTCTTAAGTAAAGGAATTCAGGAAGATCCAATTCTAAACAATCCAAATTTGTCTAATCTGCCTTAAATGGACTCATCAATCCTAGACAAAGCTCAAAACCAACCAAATAATTCTTACAGACTTAACAACAACCTAATAAAACTTATGCTCCATCCTTTCCTAATACATCATCAATTACTATTTAAAAGAATGTCTCATATACTCAAACAGAGCCAAAAGTCACATCTCAGTAACTCTATTAATAATATTACAAATTATTTAGTGCAGCATAAGAAAAACTTTCAGTTAATTAAGAATCTGCACAATCTTAATAAAAGGTAAAAAAAGGGCTAAGTGCCTTGTTGGGATCAAATTAAAGTTTGAATAGATAATCTCAACATAAACAGAAAAAGTGATTTTATATAAATATTCATAATTGATATTTTTTACTTTTCCTTAAAATCAAATTAAATCTAATAATTCATTCTAATTTTTTTTATTGTATATAATATTTGTGATCTAGTAATTTAAAAATTAATTCATTTGTAATATATGTACTATGATATAATATAATTATGTTTATAAAATAATAATATTTTTTGATGTGATATAATTTTATAATATATAATCAATTATAACTATTATTAGTTATTGATTTAATCTCAAGTAATTTGAGTTTAAATAACAAAAAAGTTATACAATAAAATTAGGAAACTAATAGCCTAAATCTTAAAGTTGAAGTTAATTTTTATTACAAGAGATAGTTTTTTAATTCATTAAGAACAACTTCAACCTAATTAAAATATGATGATAATAATAATAATGAAAAATTAAGTATATATTGTTTTTATAATATCTAAACTCATAAAGCAACTGAAAATTTTAAGAGTAACTAAAAATCAATAGTTTATTTAATAAGATTGAAGTAGAAATTTGATTTCCAAAAATTGATAAATATATTTGATTAATTAATAAATATATTAATGAATCTCACTCAATTTTATTTTATACGATTAATAATTTGAATAAATAAAATTTGATTTAGAAATGATAAGTACTTATTTTATATTTTTATAGTTTTAAAAAATATTATTTTATTATCCCTTTCTATAGTTTTGAATCTCAAAATATGTCCTTCATAAGTCCGAAATTACGATAAGGATGTAGATTGATATCCTCATTTATTTATCATTTAATCTAGATTGTATTATCAGATCAAAGTTTTTAGCAAGACTAAGCAGTGTAATAATAGTTCATTATACTATAAGATAGGTATTATTATAAATTTATTTACGGATCTTACTATTTCTTTTAATTAGGTTATAATAAAAACATTATATTCTATAAAGGATTATCTAAAGATAAATTAATGAAAAATATGTCTAGATTACTGTATATAATAATAACATAGATAGCTCTTTGTTTAAACTATTATTATAATCTTAACTGTTGCACATCATTTATTTATTTTTGAGATTTTAAATTAATTTTTTTTTTTTATTAAACATTTTATGAATCCTTCTTAAATTTAATATCTTTTATAAGCTTATTTTTTTTAAATTTTTTTAAATAGAAAAATATAATATTAAATTTTTAATAGAATTAGCAATTATTTAAATTTATGAGTAGAAAAGAATTCATTATAAATGATAATACATTAAAAATTTATTTTATGTTTTCCTCAATGAAGATTATTAAAATTGGAATAAGAAAAAAAGCAGAAATACCAATTACTTCAACTGGAGATTAAGAGGAATAATACTTTCAAGACTTAGACTAATAGAAATAATCTGAAGAATCTCTATATTTTGAATTCAAAAGAATGAGAATTTCTGCAGAAAAAGATGAACTAGTTAGTTACAAAAAAAAAAAAAAATTATAATAATAAGGAGAAAATTTCATGTTTCTCTATCAATAAAATCATCCAATAATTGAAGAAACTATTAATTATAAATCAACTAAAAATAATTCTGATTAATAGGAGATTTAGATTAACTAAGATAATACTATATCTTCTTCAGATTAATAAATAGAATAATTTAATATTGTTAAAGTTGACGAAATTGATTATGTTAATAAATTAAGTTTCTTAAAGTAGCAAGCATGTAAGAATGGAACCAGATTCAAACCAAAAACATTTAAGAAAACTAAACTTGATAATCTTAAAATTAAAAATAAGTTAATCTCAAAATGATTATAATGTTAATAATATTTCTAAGATCTTTTGTTTTTTATTAAAGATATTTATCTTGGTAAAAAGATTTTATTTTGTTTTGAATAAAATTTAAAAGTCTACTTAATTTTATTTAGAATCTAAATATGATTTTGTTAATATTAAAAGTTTTATTAATTATATT